TATATTTTGATGAAATTATTGATAAAGACAATGTAAACTAATATTTTATTTTTTAAATACCGACGGTCTGTCATACTCCAAGCGTACAGGGTACATTAGTGCGTGGGAGAGGTTTATTAGAGTGCGAAGGGGGTTCAAAAGGCGTACAATACGTAATAAATGCATTGTTTCTACTTCGCGGATTTTCCCTAATCAGCAGGAGACTCTAGAACGTAAACCCCGTGATATTCCACAGCTATGGGGAAACTATATCTGCGTTCACAGTTGATGATCAGTTACGGGTGGTGGCTGCTTGCTTGCAAATGATATCTGTGCCGCTTACAGCAGTATCCCCCTCCGAAATTGTTTAGGATTAACACCTCTTGTAACACTGAATGGTTATTTAAGAGGCGGGGCCTGTGAGTCCATCTCCGATAGGGCCGAGACAAACGGGACAATGCATGTCTCCTTACTCTAAGTGTCCCCCTGACTGCTAGATCCCAGGACTAGTCGACTGTTGGTTCTTCTCAACCTGCAGTGCAATTGATTTTTAAGAAAGCAACCGTTTTTTCCCCCTTACTTCGTAGGGCCCCGTGCCTTCTGGCAGCCAAATTCTGATTTCGAAGGTGCTCTGTGGTTTTATACTGACGAGAGTAATTTCATATGGAAAGGATTAATCTTGAATCTTGTCCTGATGGCTAACGGGGAGAGTGGAGATGAAAGCAGACGACAGAACATGGCTAGAGAACAAGAAAGAAAGTGAAATGAGAATAATTTAGAAAGAGGCAAACTTCCGTGTCTCTAGATCACGAGAGGACAATTCGTGTTAAGTCCCTTTCCCCAGACAGCTGAGCCTCGCATCCTTGAGCCCACAATCTTACGATTTTAAGTCATGTAGCCTAACCAATGGATTACTGACACCACTTTCGATCCGACAGACGGGTCATAAGACGCCGTAATAACGTATGTCCTTTCTGCCCTGGCAAGTTCCCAGACACATTCACATATATTATGATCCATGACTTTTGTTGTGGGGTTAACAGTACTGTAAACTCTCAGGTTATTGGAGGGGCGGGACCTCTAAATTTGATGCAAATCTCCATTGGTCATTATACAGGTTTTTAAATGCCCCTTTCAACACGCTCAATTAAGAGGCAGGACCTCCGCCTCCAAATATGATGTCCTTATCCGACAGGGCCAAGCCAAAGGGGCGGACAGCTTCATTGAAACACAACCCGAGTTCAGACTGCTACTCTGGGGAGCTAACCAGGGCCCTATGCTGTGTAGACCAGTCTGACACAACAGGCACTGAGCTGACGGTGGATACTGTCCATTTATTCAGTGAGATGCAGTCATGAAGGTGGAGAGCCTTGAAAACTTTCCCAAAACCCAAACTGGGGATTTGAACTTGGGTCATCTACACCGTCGTCCAGCACGATAACAAGTGAGCCTAAGAGGTGCCACAGGGAGATGAATAGCGCCAGCTTGAGGAAACAGTAAACTATGTAGTCAGCTGTGTAATCACATCTTTGTCTTAGATTTAGCGCTGGGGAAAAGGTAAGAAAAACAAACAGAATACCAGAGGGAAAGACAAGAGTAGATCCTACCAGAGCCACCCACACGTCTCATTTGAAATGGTGTTGCGAAACGAACAGACCCATTTGCAGTCAAAATAATCCGTAAAAAAACCCCAGGACTTTCAGCTGGCCTATCTCCAATCCTCACCAGGTTGTACTGGAGAAGCCCTGCACTTGAATTATAATTATAAGAGTTATAAGCTGTGTTGAAAAGAGCTTTAAACCAACACTATGTTGTGTCTCCATTTAAATCACACTACACAAAAAGAAAACAAATACTCAACGACACAAAATTTGTTGTTTTTGTTTTGTTTTTGTAAAGTGTTTTTACGGCGCTCGCAACTGCATAAGGTCATATGACCGTGCGGGGCACACCTAATATTTTCAGTTGGTAGGAAATTTTGAATTTGCCCGGGTGGCGGCCGAAGCCTACTCTTATCGATTTTAGACTACCAAGGGATCTTTAATGTGCGCAACTTGCACACGGGCCCTCCGAGATTTTTTGCCCTTGTCCGAGAAGGCTAGGTGTAGATCTTTCCTACCAGAAGATCAGGGGTGTGGCAGAAAGACAGCAGTAAAGAGGAGCCAAGGAGTAGCAGCAGAAAGAGTCAGGAGCCCAGAGGAGGGGGGCAAAGGAGAAATGAAAGCAGACAACAGAACATTGCTAGAGAGCAGGAAAGGAAGTGAAAGGAGACAATCTTAGAGAAGAAAATTTTTCGGTCGCTACCCTGATTCGAACCCAGGACCTTTGAATGAAAGGCCAACACCTTAACCTCTAGGCCACGAGAGCCCCCACGACACAAAATGAAATAATGTAAAAAACAATCGTGAATACAGATTAAGAGGAACAATTTATTTGTTCATCCACAAGCATGGCTTCCGAACTTCTAAAGCAAGAACAAATTTGCAGAGAATTTGTCTGAAATCCAATTCAAAACAAAGCAACTGACATCCCCCTTTGGAAAAAAAATTACTTCCCCAAAATAGAACACCCTTATCGCTGAAATAAAAACAGGGAAATAGCCGAAATATTTTCCCTCTTGCCTTGTTTGATTCACAAAGAAAACAAAGTACATTAAAATTTTATACATTCGTAATAACAGAGCAAATTTGTTGACACTAAATTCAGTCAATAGATCAATAAAAATAGTTGGACTGGTCCTTTTTTTAAAAACCAAAGCCACTCAGCATGTTAAAATACCAGTGAGGCAGCGAGGAGAGGGTATATTAAAAAAAGAAAATAGTTTTTTGACACTCGTAAGCATTAGGCTACCAGACTGACAGAGAACTCATCTCTTAGCATTGTACAGTATTTACAAACTAGACCTCGACAATAAGGCGGAGAGAAGCAGGATAAAGGGAGAAAGAGACTCACAAGCTTAATAGACATCCTCCCCTACACCACCATCAACAAGCATCTGAAGGTGCTTGGCTTTTGAATGGTGAAGATTCAGAATTGCTAACAAGAACTACTATAATGAATATAATGCCTCAAAACAACTTTCTTTTTTCATTTTTAAGTAGCTCTTTCATTTCTTATTTTTTCTAGTACTGTAAAATCTTGTGAATCGTAATGAAGGCAAGAAGGGAAAAAAAATTCCACCTTAAAAGAAGGCAGTTTTGACAAAAGTTATCTATCACATAGATACATGAACACATGAAGCACAAATCACATAAACAGAACAAAAAATACAAGTCCAAACAAAAAGTATAAAGGAATCCTGAATACAGAAATAAACGTGGCAGTCGTTCACCATCTTCGCACTACTTCTCAGTTATTTCCAGTACACAAGCGCAACAAGCTGTATATGTCGCATAAACACATTCCAAGTTCAATGACAAAAGCTGTATGTTCAGACCGCTCACAGCTTAACAGTTAACATCTATAAGCTGACATCAAACATTCCAGAAACTTTACATGTTAAAAAAAAAAAAAAAGGAAAAAAAACAATTTTAAAATGACAAAACTTGGAAGTCACTGCAGAAAGTACATTAAATTATCAACTGTAACAAAACCAGGAGTTTCGATGTCAATTTTGATATTTTAAAAACAAGTCCAATCAAATCAAATGTGTCTATTTAGGGGGGAAAAAAATCAACCCAACCTCTTGTTCGCTAAAGTTCAATATTTAAGTTAACAGCAAAAATAAAGCTAATATTTTCTGAAGAATTAAAACAGATAAGCTACAACACAGAAACAGGGTGAGCACAATTCATATCAGTTGTAACTGCTGGCGAGCAAAGAGCTGCCAGACAAAGGACAAACTGGATACAAGTGCTTTGCATTGCTGTGTGCATCGCCTTTGGCCAGAGCCGTATGCGACTCTGGCCCACCTCACCAACCAGCACCACTAACCACCGCAGAACAAACCACACAGATTGTTTTCATATCGGCTGAGACATACACCACAAGTACAGTCAACAAATGTTAATTGCACATGCAAGCCTATTGCATGACAATTGTACACAAAAAAGTGTAAATTAGGTCCTTTTCTGTATCCCTTGGAAAAATTATAAAATAATGCAAAATGTTTCTCGCAGTCCAACCATTCAATATGAATACCACATAATCAGTCACCAGAGGCATTTGATCTTTGTAAAATGTCATAAAAGTCACTGAAGTATCTCAAAGAAACAGTAACAGGTCTTTGCGAGTTTCTGTGACGTAGTCACGGTTTCTAATAAATGTTCAACCTTTTTAAGAATCTCCATTAGTAACTGGTATTAGTTAGAAAGGAAGGAAACCACACAAAAACAGATGAACCGTATCTTGACAAATTCCTGTATCAACAGAGTTCTTAGCAGATTAAACGAGAAAGAGAAAAAAAAGACGAGTGGAAAAAGGTAAGGAGAGGGTGGGGGGAGGGAGAAAAAGAAAAAAAAAAAGAGACAGAGAGAAAGAAGGGGGTGGTGGTGTTTGGAGGAAAGGGAGGGAGCAGAAAAAGGGGGAGAGAAAGCTAGCTTAACGTCAGTCAAATTTTTCCTTTCCTTTGAAAGTCACTAAAACTCCTGACAACAACAACAAAAGGAGTTGGCACTTCTGTTGATGCAGGAATCTACTCTGAAATTCAAAGTAATAATAAATAGGCAACAGGGGTGCTCCCCCTAATCAATTAAACATTCAATCTCAACATTCCAAAAAACAAAAAAAAGAAATAACAACAAAATAGGGAATAAATAACAAAACTATGTACATCATCTTTTTTTGAATTTTTTTTGTCTGACATTTTGTATAAAAATAGATTACCATTTATGTATGTTTCCTACATAATGATAAACCAGATTTTGGCTTCTTAACAGTGAACATGTTTTAAAAAATATGAATGAAGAATATGAGAAAATAATATGAGATATGAAGGCTCATGCAATCCGTAAAATGCATAAGCAATAAATAATTTACTGAGTAATATTACAATGCATAATGACGCTTATGGTATTAAATACGTGAAATAGGCAACGAGTTATGTTGAATGAAATTGGAGAACTCCAGTTAAGATTGAAGAGGGAATGAACAAAGGCAACTCTCTTCTCACTTGACAAATACTTTAACTCATTCTCATTCTTAACCTTGTCACATTTAAGTTTACCACCAATGGAAGTAAAACAAACCAAACCTAACCAATACTACATATCTCAACTCATGAGTCGTGACAACTAAATGATGTTCTAAAACTTTATAAGCAGAAAAAAACCCAACAAATAAGTAAAAATAAAATTTAAAAAATAAAAATAAAAAAGGACTAGATATACTTAACATCTCAACAACTTCCTTGTTTGTGTTAAAATTCTTTCAAGCAGTTAGCATTTCAAACGATAGATTCTGTTCTTATTCCCACCTTTGACAGTAGATACCATAAAAAGCAAGGACAAATGCCCTACTTACATATTTGAAAAGTGCTCTGTAGTTCAAAGATTACCATTTATATACATTTTTTCCCCCACCAATTTTCAGAGAACATTTTGGACACAAATTTAAAAAAAATAAAAAATAACAGGAACCTTAACAGAATAGTATCACTTGTGTTCAACACAATTTTGAAAGTGGCAAAAACTCACTTCATCATTCAAAACATCAGTATTTACAATAAAAGAAAAATCGATTTTTTACAAAATTAAAAGCAGAACTGAAAAAAAAATTTAAAAAATTCCATAATCATTAATACTTCACCTTTAGTGACATGTGATGTCTTTCCTTTACAGCCAAGCACACATATCTATGTGTCGCTCATCATAAAATTGAAAAAAAAATTAAAATTAATCCAAGACAAAACAATCCAAAGCTGCGCAAATGCTTGCAATGACGAGAGTCCAGTGTACCGAAGCTGACGATCCTTTTTTCCCTTCAAAGTTTGATGTGAATTATCCCTTGCACAAAACGAAAGAAAATGCATAATCCTTCTGAGCAAAAAGCAGAGTAATTCTTGATTTTTTAAAAGTAATGCCTTTCTGTGTAGATAAATTCTTAAGTGCGATCCAAAGTTACTACATTATATAAGAGGGGTGGTAAACAAAGTTGTCAGAGCTCCTAATCCTTTCCTTCTAAAATCCAAAGTCAAGAGCGTGAGTTGTTTCCAGTGTAAGGAGAGAGAAATATGACAATGAAGTCCTGACTTGCCCCAGAGTGTGTAAATGTTGTTGCAAAGCTACTGCTTGTGAACGATGACTCCAGGCCTGTTGTAGAATGATGGGTGGAGGGGCCTGTGTAGGAGGTGGCTAGCGATGGGGTACTTCTCCGAGAAACTGCTGGAGCCAGAGTTGTGGATGCTGCTGGAGTTGGTGGTGCTGAGAGGGGGAGGGGGAGGAGGCTGACTGGACATGATGACTGGTTGCTGCTGCTGCTGTTTCAGGTGAACCATATGATGGTGATGGTGTTGAATGGGGGAGTCCCGTCCAGAACCCTCCGATTTGAACTCGTCCATGTCACTAATGCTGCTCGTTTCCCGCTCACTCTCCTCCGTCGTGGGTATGGACTGGCGTTTAGTGTAAAGTCTCTGCTCCTCTTCGTACAGCTTTCTCTCGTCGCACACCATACGCTCTCCCTCCATCTGACACAACACACCATCCCCTTCAATCTGACGGATAGCCTCTACTAGATTTTCTAAGCTCTGAGCCGGCACCGCCTGCTGACTCTGCTGCTGCTGTTGTTGTAGCTGTTGCTTCTGCTGTTGTTGAAGCCGTAGCTCTTCTTCAGCCTGCTGCTGCTCCAACTGCGCCTGATGGCGATGGCGACGACGAGGGTGGTCCCGATGGCAGTAATTATGATGATGAGGAACGCGACCCTCTGGCACACTCGGGGGATTGACCCTAGCGGCGGGCTGCACAAGACCTCCCACCGTGGGCTGAACAAGACCTCCCACACTACTGTTATTACTATCCAGAGCTGGACTTTGAATGGGGAGAGGTTTGATGGGAGAGGGCGCTGCGGGCGGCGAATGCTCGTGCCTTGACGTGTCCATTGGAGGTGTTGATATGTCCATAGCCATCCCTCTCTCTGGGGTGGGCGAGAGTGGACGAGGGGGAGGAGATGGTGGTCTGACATCCCGGGAAGCAATTACTTCAACCACCTCCCTGCTGTACATTGGCTCGTGTGGCGTCAGAGAGTGGGCGGCTTCTAGCTTCACAGGCTGCAGCTCCTGAACACAAAAGCAGAACAAATTTGTTAGAGACCACAAACATATGAAAACACACAAAGTCACAAAAAGAAAGGGTAAACATAATATATCTTCCTTCACTTTGCTTTCAGCGTATTTGCAGACAGAAACCCAGCAGATTGAACATTCATTTTAACTTCACATGCTTTATTAAATTCTGACTTCAACGTAAGTTAATGAAAACCGTTCTGACTATGTGTTTTGGCGTTGCAAAATTATTGCCCCCCCCCCCCCCCCCCCGAGTATGTTTGAAAAGGAACTATTGGTGAAATCATTGGCCTCTTAATATTAATTAAAAGGACTGACAGACACTAATAAAATTCTCAATAACAGTGTGAATGAAAACACAACACCAATCTTACCCTTATTGCCTGAGCCGATTGCCTCTGCAGCAGTGAGTACAGCTGATCCTCCAGCCGACGATTATGCTCCTCCAGACTGGCACACCGCTGTCGTTCTACCTCCAGTTGGTGCTGCAAAGCCACATTCTCCTGGCGTAGCTCTGTGCCTCCTTCATCAGAGCCATCCGATAATGACCCAACTCCTTCATCCGAGGATTCTGCTTGAGGGAGAAAAAAAAGGAAGGTGATTTAGACTTCCAGAAAGAACAAAAGATCTATTGTAAACAAATACAGTCTGGATGAACACATGCAACAACTAAGAAAGAGCTATAGATATTTTTTTAATTGTGCTACTCTGATCACATCAAATTAAGATGCCATTTTCAGCCTAACAAGACAATTAAAACCCCCCCAATACTAACAGAGGAAGACAAGAACCACTGAAATAAACAGACCAGCTAGGGGGGGGGGAAGAGATTGCAAATTCTGATGAGCCTACAGGTGAAGATGTGATCATAAAGAAACATTCAAATCTTGTCAAACTCCACAGCCTCCTCCCTCACCTGTATCTCGCTTTTTTCGCTTGCTGGGCGGCGGAGAGCTGGAGATGTAGGGGTCAGTCACGACCCGTTCCTGGCCCAGCTCAGCCAGCACATGCTTCAGATGCTCCACCTGGAGCTGCATGCGGGTCTTATCCTTTTCCAGGGACGTGATGTACTCCGTGGTGTGCTGGAGGATGGCCGCCTGTCAACACAACAGGAGAAACGATGCTTAAAATAGGTTGCAAGTCTTCTTTGAGTAAAAAGAAGCAAATCAACACGATAAGAGGTGTTTATTGTTTGAGTAAAGAGAAGCATATCCACACAATGGTCAGTTAGTGCTGGAAAAAAGTAAGACAGAAAGACAGGAACAACAGATGGGAAAATGAAGAAGTACAACCTAACAGCGACGCCCCCCAACCACCCACAACATGCGTTTAGTGCACGGAAAGAGCAAGACAGACAGAAACAGTGGAGGAAAAGAAAAGAAAAGAAGTAGGACATACCAGTGATGCCCTCAAACCACCAAAGTTGCAAAGTCGGTTCCAAGGATAATTGGACGTAAAGCTGAACATGCGATAAAAGAGTCAGTGTGAGCAGTAGGAGGAACTCTGACACTGGAAAAAACGTTGGTGGTGTCTGTGGGAGTGTGCACAGGAGGATTAATGGTTATAGTGGAAGCCACAAAATATCTCAATCCGTTATTGTTCATTTATTTTTTATTTTAGAGATTATTCTCCCCTGCAGATACATACACTGGTCATCGTCAGACACGGACGATCTATCATTATTCCATGCATTGTTTTAGATTAGTCTTTTTTGTCCTCTCTCAAATCAAACATAATCAGAGTGAAAACCCACACATTCGTCACTCCCCTATCACATTGCGCAACAACACTAGGACACCCCCCCCAAACCCCGAGGGCAAACTAAACTGTTGGGAAGTCCGCCATAAGCCATCGGTTATGGTGAAGAGGTGGTAATAAATGTACCTTGACCCGATGACCTGTCCAAGTGACGACGACGACAACTCATGAAGCATAACGCAATCACCTCACATCGGGGAACAACGTAACGTCATGACACATACACACACACACATCACACCTGCAGCGATCCAAATACACCACGTGATGTAGACTTCTGACCCACCAGACGGCCCCTGGACCCTCCTGAGTTGCGGTGGTGGTGACCGTAGATAGGCCTTATCTGGCCTACATCAGAATAATATAAACACTGCGGCCTGTGAATGTGCGTGTGTGTGTGTGTGTGTGTGTGTGTGTGTGTGAGAGAGAGAGAGAGAGAGAGAGAGAGAGAGAGCGAGAGCGAGAGCGAGAGCGAGAGCGAGAGCGAGAGCGAGAAAGAGAGACGACCGACACAGTAACAGTCATATATTGTCCAAGGGAAAAAAAGTAAAACGGACCAGAGGAAAACTTTAATGTAGTGCAACCCTCTAGTGGCGCCCTCCAACCACCCGCGCTGAGCGCATGTGCCCTTGTCCTTATCGAATCGATACACACACTCGACAAGACAAACATTCAATTCATTGATAAGATCTGCAGCTCATGGGAAACAGGGCTACACTAAAACAGACCACATCATCAATATCAGCTCTCCCGCTGAGACCTGATGATTTGAGCAACACAATGAGACAGCACTCGCGATAACGGACCATATTTATTTCACCGATAGTAGAGGAGGACACGAGACACATTGAAAATAAAAACAAATCAAGAGAGCACTGGATAATCTCATATAATATCAGAAGAACGCCCACCAAACAGATCCGATTGTCTTCTTCACACCCCCCCCCCTCTTTCCGCATATAAACCCAGGCTATGGTTTCACGATCCATTAGCCGTGTTGAACCAAACAAAAACATTTCCCAGTGTTACTTTTAATATAAATACTGACCACGGACACCCCCCCCCCCCGCAACTTGATACGCACATGGTCTTAATCTAAACTAATGTGTAACAGTTAATTGTATTTTGCTCTAATTCGGGCACAATCTTCCTCTGCCTCTTGAGTTCGGTGCGGTCATATCCCCTTTTCCCTTCCTCGGATGGGACCCTTCTTCCCACCATCCTAATTCTCCACTCAAAGTCAAAGTCCCGCTGTACCCTCCTCTCCCCAATAAAAAGGCTTTCCTTGTGGCGAGAGAGAGTCTCAAAACCAAAGCAGCGCCGGACGTGTGTCCATCACTGCAGGTTACAAGAGTCTCCTTACCAGTCACGGACCGTCCACTCCGCCAGACAGCAACGTAAGCTTACAAGGACCCTTGACCACAATCTGCTGCCGACCGTTCACAGCCCCCCCCCCCCCC